CTTTCTTTCTTTCTTTCTTTCTTTCTTTCTTTCTTTCTTTCTTTCTTTATATATTTCTCTCCTTCCTTCCCCTGCTTCTCACCTATACATCCAGTTTGGCCTTAGTCTCTTAGGAGAAATATTTTGCGTTTCCATGGTTACAGCAGATAAGAGTACATTGGACCCAGCTATGTGGGGCACTGTTTAAATCCCATCGACTGCTCTGCAGGTTTTGGAAACAGGTTCATCACATCCCAGATGAAAGGTGGGGGAGTTAGAGACTTGCCTATGATGAGAGACGGCTGTGGAAAGTGAAGATGAGCTGACAGCAGGGAAAAGGTGGTGGTAAGAGGAGGTAAAGTGGGAGGCAGAGAGGATTTTGATGAATTCAAGAGTCAGCCGGCCTCTGTGTTTTCTGTCTCTCTTCCTCCATCTTTGGTTAAGGATAAATTATTTAGGGAATGAGTTGAAGAAGCTGCAGCTGCAGGAGTACAACTTGACTTTACTTGCACCAAACCCTGGTTTTACATTCACATGTACTTCATCCTCATTTGTGCTTTATTGCTTAAATATATTTTTCCCGTCATACTTTTGAATAATGCGTTTATTCCCTCACACACACCGACACACATGTGGGATACTGTCTTTGTTTCTAACTCAGTTTATCCAATTGTGTAAAAAACAAATGTACAGCTGTATGGAATCCACTTGAAGTGAGTGGAAGGAATTTAAAATGAGTCAACAGCCCTTTATCTAAAGGGATTATGGATCTGTTTTGGGTGTTGACTGTCTGCGAACCATAATCAGGACATCATTATTCAGAGCTGGGTTCCCTGGACGTCTGAGCCCCCCCCCTTCTCATTACAGCAGTCGCTGAAGATAGCAGAAATAAGTCAACCGCTCCGACAGAATGGCAGTACTCATATATCAGCGGGCCACCAGCTCAAAGAGAAATTAGCGAGGCACAAAAAACGGGATAAAAGTAGAAAAGGCACATCCGGTTGTGATTAGGATGAGGATCCACTGCAGTAGAAACCCTCAGCTGTGTCGACTGTCTGTGTGTGTGTGTGTGTGTGTGTGTGTGTGTGCTCACCAAAGGGAGGTGATGAATGATGACCGCCTGGTTCACAAGCGAGGTTATTATGGACTGTAATGTGTTTTTTTTCTCCTCCAGCTAACATAACACTCTGCCTCTCATTTATTTTGCATCACCACGGCTGCAGAAAGGAGGAGAGCAGGCAGGATGGGGAGGATGAAAGGGGAGAGGGGAGGCGAGAGGGGCATGGGGGGGGAAATAGGAGTGTCAGAGGAGGCAGGCTAAAAAAGACCAGCCTCAGGAATAGAATGCTACTGGCAAGGTGGAAATCAAAAATAGAATAGACACACAGGCATGGAACCCTGTTCTGTAAAACTTGTTTTCACTCAGCAGCCTCAGAGCTTAAAGAGAAGTGGAAATAATCTCTAAGTATTAATTGAAGCAATTATCTTCGTAACCTTTCAGGCTCTCCCAGGCCAGTGTTTCCCAGCAGATTGAAATGTTTTTGACTCCATTACTGATTGACAGAAGGAGGACCTTCTGTCTTCACTGCTGAAGTTTTCTTAGTTAATGCCAAGCAACACAGCCTCTGTTTCCATGGATACAGCCCCAAGGAAAAGTTTTTAGATAAAGACGAACTCTTTGATTGACTATGTTGTGGATATGCATCTACACTGGAGCATTATGATGTATTTACTAATATCGTTTCTCATAAAACTCCCAATTAGAGCAAGGAGAACCAGATACTTGCAGCACATCTAAAAAGTAAGCGGTTGGCTTTCAGTGAAAAACTTATAGAGGTTTATATACATTCTGATATTCAGTCACAATCTGTACATCTGAAAAGATGGGGCTGGTATCATGAAGAACCAGTTAAAACCGACTGCTTTAATATGTAAACCCCTGCAATGATGACTGTTTATAGCCTGACTGTGAAGGAAAGCATGTGCATACTGGTAATTTATTACCCTGGTGGTGTGACATTCGAGGTTTCATGTGATGTTTTTGTGCTTTGACTTTATAAGAATGCTCAGATGACAAGATTTCATGTCTCTCAGGGAAATCGGTACATTTATTGTGCATTGTTCTCACATAACCTATCATGTGTTAGTACTGTGAGTCAATATGAGCTGAAATTATGCCACTCACATTTGAAATACTAAACACAGAGGCCAAAGTATATATGAAATTAAAATTTTCCTGGTACTGGTTTCTGTTTTGTTTCTAGTTCCTGTTCAATGTTCCATTATTGGCCTGATCATCTACTCCTTCCACCACTCGTTATTCATCTTCTTCAGTATTTGAGCTCCACAGTTTCTTTCAGATCTTCACCTTTGTCGTAAATTCACTATTTCTAATCCTATTCTGCTGGTATGTATGTCTTGTTTGTGTATTAAGAATCTTTCAAAGGTTTCTAAGTTCCCTTTTGTCTGTTAATTATAGAGTATAAACATGATTTCGTTATTCATCTGGATTTAAATTAATGCTGATTATTTGCAACATTTAAGGACCCTGATCAATATTTCACTGGCTTGCATTGAGAAAGGTTTATATGATTATTCAGTTAGATGAAAGTTCTTTGAATCTAAATTGAAATTCTTTTTTATAAAGCTGCCCTGTCAGTGGATAGCAGTTACGCTCAGCAAATGTTGAGTGAGGGTGCATTTCTTCTAAGTTTTCTTTTTAGAAGTTGATATCATATCAAATGTGAATGTCCATAATGTTTTCAAGGTACAAATATGTTCTATCTATGTATGTAGATATGTAAATGCATGTATTTTTGTTGTCTGGTAGAATATTCCCTTTTAAAACTATTAGTATTAGTGTGAAATTGTTTCACATAGGTATGTTCACCTGACGTTAAATGCTAAGACTGAATCCATCTGTACTTCAATGTTCATTTTTAGATAATTGACTCAGCATTTGGTTTTATTTTAATAAATGTTGGGAAATTCTTGTTTGTGTATGTCATTCACGTGAGCTAATGCTAACTGATGAGTCAACATTTGAATGGTCTGAATTTTTAAACATACAAAAATTTTGAATGCACAACTTCATTCAAATCTGTTTCTTTACACATGGTCCAATATTAAGTTTGTTTGCTAAGTTAAGTTTATTGCATCTAAGTCAGTTTTATACCTAATTAGTCCTTGTTTCTGATAGACTGTGTGTTATATTACTGGTACCGCAGTAGTTTGAAGTATTCCCAGCTCAAAATATTAATGAGTTCACCAATACCGTTTGGAAAACTGTGATGTGATTTTAATTTCATAATATCAGTTTTTACAGTGCTGATGACAACTGGAGAGTCTCTGTCCGGGTGATGTGGTGTGGAGAGAAGAAGAAATGGAATTCCTGCTCCCTTGTGTGATTTTCTCTTGCCGCACTCACAACGAGAAGAGAGAAAACACAGAAACTGTGAAACTCTGTGGAAAATGTGAATCATTCCGTTGGTTTGCGTCCCAAGATTATCAGAGGATATGTGGGTGGTGTCTGTAAATCAGTCAGACTGTGTCTGAAGTGGCCTTTAACAACGTTTAACAAGCTCGTGTCAGTGTAGAAGAAAGCTGATTACATACTCAACATGTGTAAATATGTTTGGACAGCACTGATATTTAAAGCTATTATTTGAATGCAGCTCATCTTTGATAGGGTAATATGTATGGCTTAGGCAACATTGCATATTTTCAATGTACATTTTTACAACTAGTTCCAAAAGTAAAAAACAAAACAAAAAAAATATTAAGAGCAGGAATGATGTGAAAAAAAAAACACTGTTCAAAAACCACCTGTTGCATGCGTCAGTGCTCCCTAAGATTCAAGAGTAATCATATTAACCACGTCTGCATCTTTGTGTGTTTGTGAAATAGCCCGGAGGGAGGATCCGGCTGCAGCTTTTATGGGAAAGACGTGCTGTTGCTATGGCAAACAACAGTGCATCCATTAGATGAAGTACCACCCAGTACAACTGTTTGTGAGACACCATTGCTTTATCTTTTCAAAATATTGGTAAAAAAATGTGGCCACCTTGGATTTTTAAACATTTTTTGATCAGGTTTCCCTTTTCCTTTATGTAATCTTTCTCTCTCAAACACACCCGCAAACACAGGATGTAATGCAGGTGTCTGATAG